GGGACCGCGGCTGCCAGCGCAGGGACCTGCGGGCCACCGGGGGGCGTCTGGGCCCGCGCAGCGCTGGGCGAGCGGGGCTGAAGCCTGAGCCCAGAGCTGGGGCTGGAACAGGGGCCAAAGCCGGAGCTGGAGCAGGGGCTGGGACGGGCTAGAGTTGGAATGGGGGCTGGAGCAGGAACTGGGACTGGAGTTGGAGCTGGGGCTGGTGATGGGGCTGCCTCCTGCCCATCTCCACGCCCCCTCCCTACAGATAGGGCATGGGGACACTGTGCTGACCAGCAGCATCTCTGCACCCGCAGCTGCCCCTCAGGGACCTGCCCCTGTGCAGCTCCCGTGCTGCCAGCCCAGTGCAGCTGCCCCTCCCCACAGGCCTGTGCAGCCGAGTGTAAGGAGGGGAGCAGTGATTTTGTGGTCAGGCCCTTGATGGGGTCAAGGTCCTCCTGCCCTCTAGCCCACATGGACCACACGTATCCATCAGTTATGGACATGGTGCATGGGTGTCCTTGCCCAGCTCACACAGTCCTTGGGAGCCTGTGGAGGGATGTTGCCTGTGCAGAGTGTCCCTCATCTCAGAGTCTGGTTTGAAGGGACCCCCAGAGGGGTGTCCTGCTGCTCAGCACTGGGGTGTCTGCAGCCAGAGTTCAATCCTCTCCCACAGGAACCTCTCTGCCATCCAGGACCGAGAGATTTGTTGCTACTCCATTTCTTGCAAAGAAAAGGACAACATCGGTGAGTACTCGCAGCTCCAGAGCAGGGCTTGGGTTGCAGCAGGGGGAGGGCAGCCCATTTACAGGAGGGGTTGAGAGCCAGAGCCTGCAAGTCTCCCCTTGCCTTCACAGACATCACCCTACAGTGGCTTATCCAGCACTCGAAGTCTAGGAGAAGCTGAGATCCCTCAGACCATGGCTCAGATCAGGAAGATGCCATTGTACAAGTCCCTGCCCCTCCTCTCCTGCTCTGTCCCTCCAGCTCTCTCTCTAGTTGGGTATTTTTAGGGGACCCTAGACTCCACTCGCCTTGAGGTGGAGCCCTTGTTTTTATTGTAAAGAAAATGTCCAACTCCGCCCTCCTCCTCTCTCTGTCTCTTCCTCCCATTTTTGGCACTGTTTTGTTGTCTGTGTATACAGTATATATATATATGTATATATATTTTAATTTTTTAATTTAAGCGATAGCACTGTTACTGAACTGGGCCCTGGGAGCAGTGGGAAAGCTGTGGGTGCCCTGAGGCTGGCCAGGGATAAGTGCTGGGAGGAAGATGAGGGTGGTAGAAGGCAGCTCCCTGGGGGTGGGGCTGTGCCAGGCTGGACAGGTCCCCTGGGGCTCCCTTGTCCCCTCCTGGGTGTCCTGCCTGAGCCCTGGGCTCGGGCTGTCATGCCTGCCTTGCCTTCCTCAGCCTTCAGCCCCATGGGCAGGGTTTGGGGGGAGGCTGCTTCCCAGGGCTTCTCCCCTCTGGGAAGACAGGGATTGGTCACCACCTGCCTCTGGCTGTTGTGCCACCTCCTTGACTCCTGCCCTGGGCCACCCAACCCCCTGCTCCCCCTCCTGCCCTGCTCCTGCACTACTCTGCTGGGGGGGCCATACCAGGGGCTGCTGCCAGCACAAGGGGGCCCAGAGAGGCCAGTGTCTCTATGAGAGGGACAGCTGGTGCCCCCCCCCCGCCCCATCTGCCCCCAGAGGTGGCTTGGCCCCATGTGCCAAAAGGTGTCACCTGTGCCTGGCTGGGGGTTGCTGGCTCTGTCCTGGCCGAGGACATGGCACAGGGACACCAAGGAGTGGGGGGACATGTGGGGACACCCAGGGACTTGTGGGGCCTGAGAGCCCCTGTGCACCCCCATGGTTCCCTCAGGGTGCTCCAGGACCTGCCCTGCTCTGCACACTCACCCCAGCTCTTCTGCCCTGGCTGTTGGGGACACGGTTGAGTCCTCAGCAGCAGGTGGGGAGAGCTGAGAGGAAACGTGCGGGGGGGTTGAGGAAGGCTTTGCCCATCTGTGTTGTGTGATGAGTTGCTGGGTCTCTGCAGCTGCAGCCTGGGGACTGACCAGGTTGTTTGGGGCCAGTTTGGGGGGCTTAGCTGGGCTGGGGGGGTCACAGAGGCATCAAGGAGGGTCAGGTCAGTGGCACAGCAGGACAGCAGCTGCCTGTCCCCTGGTGAGGGCTGGGACAGAGGGTGGGGTGGCCCAGGACAGGGGCTGTGGGGCCCCTGTCACTGCCCCTTCCCCATCTCGGCTCTGGGCAGTGAGACAGGGATTTCTCTTCTGTTCTCATGTTTGCAGAATTGCACAGAGGTTTCCTTTTTCTTTGTTGGTTTTTTTTTTGGGTATTTTTTGTTGGTTTTAGTTTTTTTAATTTAATGAATTGTAAAGTGTTGTCACTCTCCCCCCACCCCCACCCCCTTTTTTTTTTTAGACCTATTTTGCCTCAGATTTGACCTCTGTTGGGAAATGATTCTTGTAACTGTACAATTTTTTTGCCTCCTAATAATAATAAATTAACAATTTTGCGTTGTGGGGTGTGGTTGCAGTCACCTGGCTTCTTTGCTGTCACCCATCCTTCCTGGAAACTGTCCCCACACCTCGGAGCTCAGAGGTGGGTCCCTGTCCCCTGAGCACCACCTGGCACCCTCAAGGCTGTATGCACCCAAGAGTTGCTGGAGCCAACTGTAGGGTCCCTCATGTCCCTGGGGGCTCTGGCCATTACTGGGGGGATACCGTCCCTGGGGACCCAGCCCCTGGGGTGCTCTCCTTGCTGTGGGTCCATGTGTTGCCAACAGTCCAGGGTGATGGTGCTGCCTGTGCCCCCCCTCTCCCTGCTCTCTTCCTCTCCAGGCATCCAGCAACAAGCCTGGCTTTGTTTGCCCTTGGCCTGGGCTCAGGACAGAGCAGCACTGCCTGAGCACATGAGAGCTGCCCCTACTTCTGTCCTCCCACTCCCAAACCCCCACCAGGGACCCCGCTGGCCCTGGGGGTGCAGGGGGTGAGGGCGGGGGGGGCACCAGGACTCTGCTTCTTCCCCCCATTCCATCCTTGTCCCTGGATAAGTCCTTTCTCCTCCATGGCTGCTCCTGAGCTGCGCGTCCAGCTCTGGTGCAGGGCTGGGGGGGGGGCGGGGAGAGAAAAGGAAAAACCCGGTTTTGTGCTCTGGGAAGAAAACTGGGGCTTTGTTTCCCTGGAAACGGAGCTGCAGAAGCAGAGCACAGTGGGTGTCACACACAAAGCCTGCAGTGAGCCCCGCGCTCACCGCGGCAACCGGCTCCCGCGCCCCGGCATTCCCGGGTCTGCCGCCAGCGCCGGGACAAGGAGCTCTCACAGCTCCAGCTCGACCCTATCCCACCATCCCGAGGGAGCAGGAGCCTTGGGCACGGGGTGGGGAATGTGGGGCTTGGAAACCTTGATGCCCTGAAACTGTCCTCCTGGGAACAGTTTTGTCCCTGCAATGAGCAGGTGGATGGAGGCCAGGAGATCTGCATGGTGCTGTTTGGATGAGGTGTGCTTACCCCATCGGCTCCCCAGGGACTGCTGGGGATGGTGGTCCCACCTCCCCACCCCAGCCTGGCAGCACCATGACAGCAGCACCTTGGTCCTGCACAGTGCAGAGGAGGAACCAGCTGGGGAACACCTCAGCCCAGCTCTGAGACCTGAGTCCTACCAACCACCATTACTGGGGGGATACCCCTGCTCTATGTCCCTGGGGACCCAGCCCCTGGGGTGCTCTCCTTGCTGTGGGTCCATGTGTTGCCAACAGTCCAGGGTGATGGTGCTGCCTGTGCCCCCCCTCTCCCTGCTCTCTTCCTCTCCAGGCATCCAGCAACAAGCCTGGCTTTGTTTGCCCTTGGCCTGGGCTCAGGACAGAGCAGCACTGCCTGAGCACATGAGAGCTGCCCCTACTTCTGTCCTCCCACTCCCAAACCCCCACCAGGGACCCCGCTGGCCCTGGGGGTGCAGGGGGTGAGGGCGGGGGGGGCACCAGGACTCTGCTTCTTCCCCCCATTCCATCCTTGTCCCTGGATAAGTCCTTTCTCCTCCATGGCTGCTCCTGAGCTGCGCGTCCAGCTCTGGTGCAGGGCTGGGG